AATACCTATAAATGGAGTATAACCTTTAAAAATTGTGAATCAGTGTGTTGTCTGTATACCTTAAACCTATATAATACTGTAAATCAACTATACCTCAATAAAATCAGCCAACTTATAAAATAAGAATAAAATGACTATTGAAAAACTAATATCTACTTTACAAGCTTCTGATAATGACAACATGAAATAAGCTATGTAAAGTTTATAGCATAAGACACCTGGCACATAATAAGTACTCAATAAAGTTATTTTACTTATTGTGGTAGAAGATTTTTCTAACTTCCATGTCTATTCAAATATAAATAAAAGCTGCCATGGCATATATTTATATCCATATTCTAGAATGGATTTAGGTCTGCACGCCCAGGAATGCAGGCAGTTTATTTCCATTTGATAGTCCAAACAAAAACATCTGGCTCTGGTATCTGAAAGAAACTGCATGAAGTTTTTTTTTAAGTTAAGAGTGTTCTATTTGTAGATCACAAACCCTTATCTCCAGCTTTTTACTCTATAAAGAAAATGCATGTGTGAACTAACCATTTGGAATCCTCTCGTAAAAGATGGTCGTTACCCACTAATTAAAAATACATCTAAACTATTAGGTATAAAATAAGCTACAAGGATATACTGTACAACACAGGGAATATAGCCAATATTTTATAATAATTATAAATGGAGTATAACCTTTAAAAATTGTGAATCACTATATTATACACCTGTAACTTGTACAATGTGGTACATCAACTATACTTCAATAAAATTTTTTTAAACTAATAACCTATTGAGTGACAACTTAAGACTCTACAGTTTTTTTAATTCAAGTACTTTATGTATTCCTATGTATATATTCAAATACTATATAAATAAAATGCAGTAACATACATATATACATATATTACTGCATTTACTTCTCATGATGTTCTTATGAATAAGTATCATTAGTCCCATTTTACAAATGAGAAAACTGTGGCTTATGGAATTCAGTTATCTTGCTTAGGGTTACACAAGAAATAAGTATCCCAGTGCCCTAGTTCTTAGTACAATGCCCCACATATAAAACTATTTAATAAATAATTGTGGAATTAATGACTGTTAGAATAAATTAATTTAAAAAATACATCTAAAAATGTAAAAAAAAAACAAAACCAAAATACTTATGAGGGAGGGGGAGGGAAAGAAAGGCCAAGACAGAAGGAGCACGAGGCGGCTGACAGGAGAAGACTAAGAGGCGGCGCTGCACTTGACAACCAGCATGCCAAGATGTCAGAAGAGGCAGAAGTAGATGGGAGAGAGAGACTCAGAGAGACAGAGAGCCAAAGAGGGCAAGAGACTGGACTCTAAGAGACCCCTGGCCTGACAGCTCTATGCAGTTCAGAACCAGAATGACTATGGCTGAACCCAGGTTCATGGTGACATGGCAAAGCACTGATACTAACCTCTTATTCACAATGTCCCAACAGGTATCAATGTTAAGGTACCAGAAAGAACCAAAACCAAAGCCCTGCTCTAGACTTTGTGGAAAGACTTACTGTCCTGCTGTGGAAAAAAACTGTAAAACCCCACATTGTCACGTGGTAGTGCATTTGTACGTGCTGCACAGACAGGCAGAAAGTGTGCACCTGTCCTTTGCTTGGTTGTGGGAACTAAGTAATTCATTTCTAGGTTTGTTGAGGATTTGTCAGTAGCTGCCTCAAATGCAATGAGTGATGGCTGGCTCACCCTAAAAAGGAATTCCCCATTTCAGGAATGTCAGTTTAATGATTCCTTACTTTGTAGCCTTTTTGCTCCTTGAGGGTAGTTTTTTGGTGAAGCTCAGCGTCATTCACTGGGAAACAGTTTGATTGATTCTTACTTTGTGAATTGCCATTTTAATCCAGGGAAAAACTACAGTTATCTTCAAATGAGTTAGAACTAAGCTGGGATGGATATACTGAGATTAGACTGACTCACACTTCAAACATCTCATCATTTCCCTTCCCAACTGCTTCTTTTTGGTTTTCTTGGACAGCTTTGGAAAGTAACTATGGGACTGAATAAATCTTAAAATATGCTACCCCTCCCCCCCCAAAATAAAGCAGTTATGAGGTAGTGACAAACGTTACAATGCAAATGAACCTTAAATACATTATGCTAAGTGAGAGAAGCCAGTCACAAAAGACCACACAATATATGATTCCATTCACATGAAATACCCAGAATACACAAACCTATGGAGACAGAAAGTAAATTAGTGGTTGCTTGGGGCTGAAGAGGAAGGGACTGACTGCTAATGGCTTCAGGCTTTCTTTTTAGTGAAGAAAATAATCTAAACTTAGATTTTGGTGATGGTTCCACATCTCTGTGAGTATACTAAAACTATCAAATTGCGTACTTTACATGGGTAAATTTTATGGTCCATGAATTATATTTCAATAAAGATGTTAACAAAGACATCTTTTGGGTATGACATAATCTATATGACTCTGTGCTTTTCTATACGTTTGAAATTTCCAAAATAAAAGGTTAAAATAAAATAATATATACCTTATGGCATCCATCAAGATGATCCTCAATAGAGTTGGTACTTGACCTTTGACCTTTTCCCACCTTCATCCTTTCTCCCATTCTGATGCCTGGAATGCGGATGTGATGGCTGGAGCTAGCTGCTACTATCTTAGAACATGAAGACAAGGGTCACACCCTAGAAAAGGCATCACAGTGAGCTGGAAGTAGCCTGGATCTCTAAGAACATCTTGGCTCTGAGCTGCTATGCCAGCTCTGGACTACCCACCTGTGGACATTTATACGAGTCCTGTTTAAGCCACTCTTCACTTTGGGTCTCCCTTACTCACAGCTAAACCTAATCCTAACTGATAATGTCGTATTTTTATATTAGGGCTATGCTGGTTTCATAAAATAAATTAGAAGGCTTTTCATCCTTCTCTATATCCTGCAAAAGGTTAAATAACAGAGGAAATATCTAATCTTTAAAGCTTTGATAGAAACCTGCCGTAAAACCATCTGGGGCCTGGCACCTTTTCAGTGATACTTCTTTGGCAGTTTTTTCAATTTCTTCCATAGGCTATCATTTTATTCTGGTACCCCATCTTTTCTGGAGTCACTCTGCATTTTATCGACATTTGCAAATTTATTAGCAGGAAATGCACATACTGTAATATTATAATTCTTATCAGGTTCCTTTTAATATGAAATCGTTCCTAGTGTTACATATTTTTCTCCCTTCACTTCATTTTGTTCTATTAAAGATCAGCCAGTTGAATTAGGCTTTTCAAAGTATAAACTTGTGGACTTAATTTATAAATTTCCAGTGTTTTAAATTTCATATCAATAAGGTCCTGCTTTTATCATGTTTATTTCCTATTTATTTGCTTATCTAGAGTTTTAATTTGAATGCCTAACTCATTAGTCTTCATTCTCTCTGGTATAATAAAAACATTTAAAGCTATGAATTTTCCTCTGACTGCAGCACTGGCCATAGTGCAAAGCTCTTGCTAAACAGTATACTCATTTTCATTAAATCTAAAAGGGTCTATAGATGAAGTTTTAGTTTCCTCTTTGAAGAATGTTATAAAATTTACAAGTGGTTATACTGAATTTGATTTTCCTTTTAGTATCAATTTCTAATTTTATTGCATTATGATAGAGTATGTGGCTTGGGCAATTTCTACATGTTAACATTTTACTGAGTTTTTTTCTTTCATTGATTTTTGCAATTTTTCCATGGATTGAAAAGTATGTATTTTCTGTAAAATATAAAGGAACATGGTGGTGGACATTTTAGGAAGTAAATACTCAATTCTTTAACTTGTCTGCTCTTTTACTGTACTGGGTTTTGAATTTGAGTTTTCTTAATATATACTGATGTTGAAGCTATTTGAGTATTTAAGGTTTTTATTTTTCTGCTCTTTTCTACCACTTTCCCACAGCTAAGTCTGGCACACCCCTTTCTTGGTGTATCCAGCAGCAGTAGGTCTGGGTTGCTGGCCCAGCCTCCCCCAGGTGGCTGCTCATCTGAAGACAGAAAAAGCTCCTCCCACTTCTGTCACATAAGACCCAGAGGTTGTGGTCTTAAAACTCTAATCCTTGATCGAGATGGGAGGCAGTGTTCACATCCCCTGTCGTGGGGCCCTTGCTGAACAAACCCCATCTCTCAGAAATCCTTTTCTCTGGAGCTGCTTCTTCATGGACCTTCACAGAGCCTCCTGCCACTACTGGACTTTGTCAAGGGAATCAAACAGAGGCCTCTCCTGGAGAAAGGACAGCTGATCCAGATGACAAGCAACCAAACATTCTAGTGTTATCTCAACCCTTGGTCTTCAACAAGCAGATGCTCCCCCAAATCTGATGAGTCCTGAAGAAGCAGGCACAAATGATGTCTTTGTGTCTTTCCATCAGCCGCAATCCCCTCAACTTTAAATGGGGATAAGAGTTCCCTCCTCATAGTGTTGCTACACAATTAAGATAATACACGCATGGCACTCAGCACAGGGTCTGATCCAGAATAACAACGAATGCTCACAGAGCTCCTGCTCTCATTAGATGCACAGACATGGCCGGTATCTATCAACACTCCAGCAGCTGAAACCATCTGCGTGGAGGCCCCTGAGTGGGAGCGGCCCAGCCCTCGGGGAGGGCGGCCTCCCTTGAGAAAGCAGTTCCTGCAGGTTTCAAGGATGTGTGGGAACCAGCACCAGACAAGAGTAGCACCATACTCACCAGCCCGCAGCAGCTCTCCTCCCAGAACACAGGATGAAAGGGCTGCGTCACAGCTGTCATCACAGAATTTATCTTGGTATTGACATTTCTCCCAGGAAAACATAACCAAATCTTTTAGATCTCTAGAACAGTTAGTGACAGTGAAAACCAGCCTGTTTTCCTTCCACTCTGGTCAGGGAGGTTTTACTGGGTAGGGCTGGGTCACTGGGTCCTGGGGTGGCTGGATGAGGTCAGCAACAGCTCCGGGGAGTGCTGGTCTACACCCGCCCTGGTGTTTGACCAGCTGGGCTCGGGCAAGGTTCTGGACCCTTAAGAATCTTGATGCAGAGGGTGGGCATGAAGATAAAGGAGTATTTCTTCATACTACATGCATGTGGACCTCGGGCTGTACGAGAGGCATGGGTGGGATTGGACCCTACGTCACAAGCTCCAGGGCAGGACAGGGGAGGGCTGCTGCAGCCCAGACACCCGGCAATCCCGTGCTCTGAAGATGACCCATTCCTTTCCCTCTCCGGTGACCGCGACACAGGTGAGAAGCTAGCTGTTCGGCTCACACATTCCTTGTGCTCAGCATGGTCTAGGTGGGGAGTAGGCCTGTTCCCGTCCAGCCACGGGAAGGGGCCCACATTCTCCCTGTCACATTACCACACCCTGCTGCAAAGGAGTTGGAAGTCAGTCCCCAGTCAGGTGGGCGTGGCTCCACAGAAATGCCACCCTATTTCTGAACTCGGAAGGGAATCAGAAAGGGGCTGTGGAGAGCACTGGTGATCTGCCATAGCCCAAAGTGCCGCCAGTATGTGGGGGGTAATCTTACCCCAAAGGTCTTAAAGGTTATTCAGACTCAGGCTCCGGAATTATGAGCCTCAAGAAGGCAGAAATGACACCAGGGACCCACCTCCCCACAGCTACCGGAGCAGGTAGGCTTGGGACATGAGCTCTGGATGAAGACAGGCACAATATTTTGGCTTCTTTTTTAAACGTTTTATTTCTGATTGACGTCTCCACCTTTCCTGCGGAACTCACGATGCAGCTGAGAACCAAAGCAAGGCCCCATTTCTGTTGGAGCTCCAAGAGCCAGAAGGTGCTCCTGCCTAACCGGGCATTTCCCAAAAAAATGTACTGTTTTAGGTTCATGGCCTCTTTCCTTCACCTCCCCTTCCTCCTGCTGTAATAGGAGAACCTGACAACGGACACCCCCAGCTCCAGCCAGGGCAGTAGTGGGACTGCTGCTGCCCAAGATACCCAAATGTCCGAGTTTTCCTTAATAACTTATGGTGGAGGTGCCTGTCCAAGAAGCGCAAGGAAATGGCCCTCACTCGGGCCCCTCGAGGTTGAATAAAATGATAAAGGCGGCCGGGCTGCTGGCAGCTCTTCAGGTGATGATTATTCCCTCAGGAGAGGAAGGCCAGGCAGTGTGCACAGTGCGCGGCTTACTTCTGAGGTTAACTGTGGACCCAGAGAAACAGCAGGATGTGAAGGAAGAAATGTGTTGTAACAGACCCACCGTACACTGCAAATCCCAACAGGAGGCGAGGGAGAAAATGGCTTCAGGCCAAACTACCTCCCCTGACCCCGCCAATGCAGGTCCCTCAGGTGGGATGGAGGTGGGCCAAGTTCATCAGGTCCAGGTCCCACCCAGCACAGAGGGGTCTTCACTGCTGGCCTGGGCCCGGGTCCCCTGCCACTCAGAACCCAGCCAACGACGACAGGCGTGGACACGTGTTTTTATCCCCGACAGAACCTAGCACTTAAACGGACTCTGGGAAGACGGCAGTTGGCAACTTCACACCAGGTCCTGAGACTCAGAAATACTCCAGCACCAGCCGTGGTCACCAGATCTCCTCACTCCTGGGAGGGCAAAGCATACTTTCCCCAGGTCCCCAAAAGTTCTGAAGTTATCATGACAAATGTTATAAAAGACAAGAGAGTGGGAAACACGCTGCACATCTGCAGCGGGCGCCACAGCACCCTCCTTGGCGGGCGTCCGCCAACGTCATGAGCAACCAGCACGCCTGTCGCCACCCTGCGGGGTCGGGGAGCTGTCGGGAGCCCTGGCCACAACCGTCGGCCAGACGGGAGGTTTCTTTTGTCCCTGACTTCACTTTCCAGCAAAGCTCAGACTCCGTTACAACTGTGCTCTGAACCTAAGAAGGAGCAGGTTGGTCAGGAGTCACAGGAAATTTACTCTCTGGGAAACGATCTTGCCAACACCATGAAGAAATCCTGATGAATTTCAAAGGGAAGCTCTGACTAGAGGGGCCTCAAGGGAATAAGGAAGAAGGGTCAGACTCATTTCTGATACAGGACCATCAAGAGAGTGAGTTCGGTGCTGCCGGCTTCGGCTCCCGTAGGTCGGCACGGCTGCATCTCCCCCTGTTCCCGCCTACATCCTGCAGAGCTTCAGCGGGAAGTTCTCTGTGATGAGGTGCTCAGGGTGAAGCAGCACAACGATGTTCACCTCGAACTCTGGGAAGAGAAAGGACAGGCTTTATGCCCACCAGCCCGGAGCAGCGGGAACCAAACATCAACCCCGCCACGGGCGCAGCGAGCTCTCGACAGAGGGAGCACCGGGCGCTGCGTGGGTTTGCACGTATGTCATCCCAAGCGTCCAGGAGAATCAGTGTAGATGCTACACTGGCGGGACTGCCTAAGTAAGCTGGTCTTCTCACCTTGGAACATGCTGTAAGGCCTCAGCTTCCCCAAACACTCTCCTTGTCCTTCGTCTTTACTACAGAGAATCTTCTAGAATCCTGTCAATTCACGTGTACTCTTTGGCTTTATTTTTACATTTCCTACAGTTCTTAATGGGAGAGTGGACTCCAAACCGGCCCACCGCTGTCTGGGGACACGTCTCCCAGCCCAGGCAATAAACAATGTTCAGAAACAGCAAGCAGTCTAACTGTAGCTCCTTTGGATACTGGTTGGTTTCCCTACAACACCTGTTCAAACATCCCTCTTTTACCTTTCAGCAAACGGGAGTCTTCTCCCCAGCTCTCCAGCCGCTAAGGGTAAGCTTACTGACAGAAAGAGGGGCGTGCATGACGAGGGAGTCTCGAAGAGAGTCCAGCCCGGGTCCCTCCCCAGCATGAAGAGCGAGGCGGGCAGCAGTGCAGCACAGGGCTCAGCTGGGGAAGGGGCTGGGGGTCAGCTCGTCCAGGACCCCGCCTGCGGCCCAAGGACAACGTCCTCGTGTGTGGCTGTCACCTTCGCCAAGCATCAGCCGGGACAGGAGTTGTGCACCAGCAGCACGCACCCTGTTCCTTTCCTTTCTGTTCCTTGATGATGGTCACGCACCGGAACAGCCCCTGGCCCTGCCCAGCACCATCCCTCCCCAGGTCCTCTAACCACCTCGCGGTCCTCCCTGGCGGGGGGCACCGTGAGCTGGGCTGGAGGACGCCACGGGCCTGGCCGTGCACACGAAGCCCCCTGCAGTCAAGGTGAAGGGGTACACCCAGATATGCGCCTAACGCAGGACGCGGGGCTCACCCCACCCGCACCTGAGACCCAGAGCCCGACCTCACCAGCCACGGAACAGCAACCCAGGGGCTGTGAAAGGCTGTGGCGCTCAATGACCGTGGGCCACCTCCTCCCTGGGGGACCCCCCCCAGCTGACAGGGCGGCCACTGCACAAGCCCCCAAATAGACGAAACAGGAGCCACGAGGACAAAAGCATCAGTGATGTCTTGGCTGATGGACTGAGGGCGTTATTTCTATGGAAGAATCACAGGCACCTCATTAAATCTTACATGGACACTTAGTAAGTCTGACAAATATAACACACAGAAAATAGAGGTGCCTAATGCATAGTATAGCAGAAAAAAATAATTTTTGGACCTTTTTTGAAGTTTATGTAGGAAAAACAAGTTGAGAAATCAACAGACAAGCTCCTCCTCAACTTCAAATCAAAGTACAGTCGACCTTTGAACAACGCCGACCCTGCACACGGTTGACAGTCTGCATAGAGTTTATAGGCTGCCCCTTATTCAGCAGTTCCTCCACAGCTGTTCTGCATCTGCAGATTCAACCAACCACGGCTCATGCAGCACTGCAGTGTATGCTCCCGAATAAACACCCGTTTCAGAACACGGTGTGCAGCGTGGCAGGGAGCACCCCGGTGGGACGCGCAGGGCTGGCACGAGGCTGTGGCTGGGAGGCTCCTGGTGGCTGCAGGCACTGACTCTGCACTCGAGGCCCTGGGGCCTCTGGATTGTGTACAGTGAGCATATACCACCTACTCAATAACCATACACAGTTTTTGAGAAAAAACATGGTACCTTGTCAGCTCGGGTCAAGTCTGACCCTATGTCATCTTTCAGCTGACTGTGCTCTGTATTCGGTGAACAGCTGGGTCTGTCGCCCTCATTTCTATTGACAAGGGTGTCCTGACCCCATTATGTTCTTGCTACAATATAACGTTTCAAATAAAGCACTCGAGGGCTCCACTGTATTAGACTGTGCTTCTAGCCTGCCGGGCTGGCGGGGCTCCGGGGCTCACGCTCACACAAGTGCACAGCAAGGTCCGAGAAGCACCCTGTGATGCCAGGTGTGACCACCTTTCCCTCTCTTAAAACAAAGAGCATACACTCAACTTCGGTGATGAAATTCTACTTACTTCAATTTTTTTTTTTTTTTTTTAGTTGTACCATGCAGTTCGCGGAATCTTAGTTCCCAGACCAGACACTGAACCTGGGCCACGGCAGTGAAAGTGCCAAGTCCTAACCACTGACCGGCAGGGAGTTCCCTCTACTTTCTTCAATTTTAAATTACATTATTTGTAATTATTTAAAGTAAAATCACAGTCTAATTAAAAAAAAAAAGATTGTCTCTGGACTAGTAATAATGTATGTTAGAAGATTTAGGGGGAATATGACATTAAGAAAACACATTGGGCTTAGGGACTATGCTCCCATTTCTCAATGAAATGGGTATAAAAACAATCATTTACCAAAAGCTCCTTATTCTATCTATTCACCAGTGAGCCTGCGCATGACAGAGAGCCCGGGGACACTTCTGTGGTCTTTTGGTCAGTCTGCAGAAGGTCGCGTCAGCCAGGGCAGAGGCCCGAGGGTCTGTCCTGCTGTGTCTCTGTGGTGGGGAGTAAGCTCTCCACTGAACTTCGTAAGCATGAACATTTTATTAGGATGAATGCACCATCAAAATACTTTATAATACTTAAAACCATGGAAAGGTTCATAATATAAAGTGAAGGGAGGAAAAGCAGGATAGAAAACTGCATCTGTCACGTGATTCAGATCTTGTGGTCAAAATACCTACCCACGCATTCATGGACGCATTCATGGAAAATGACCAACACACCCTCAGCTGCTGGAGCTAAAGCCCTCGGGAAGATTACCGTTCACACTGGGCTGTCTCAGGTCTCGCGTCTCCGTCAAATGCCAGCCCATCAGGGAGCCGACCTGACTTCCTCATGCGCCCGGCCGGCTGGTCCCTGGCTGAGTTAGTGTCCTTCACAGAGCTCGTGGTCACCTACCCAGCCCACGCTGTCTCCCTGGGGGGGGCGACACAAGTTCCTCGGAGCCGGGACTGCTCACCGGGGACCCTCAGCGCCACACAGCTGCTCTGCCTGCGTTTTTGTTGAGTGACCGAAGGACTGGGTGCTCTGGGCTGCATCTGACCCCAGCAGACCAGCAGGCCTGTCCCCTCCGGTGGCTGCACCCCTCCTGGGGGCACCCCAAGGGCAGCACACGTACCCACTTTGAAGTTGGTGGTCTCCAGTGTCGGGCAGGTGAAGAGCCGGGGGAAGACCATGTATATGGGGACAGAGAGGCCCCGACACACGTCCCCGTCGGCGATCTGAATGTTCTGAATCTCTGTGGCATCGCGGGCGTACCCTTCTGCACAGCCTGGAGCAGGGAGAAAGCATCACGCGGTCAGAACACAGCAAACGTCCAAACAGGCTGAGCCACAGGCCCTGCGTGAGTCTAGGAGAGCCTGCATCAGCCCAATCACCTGCTCTCCCCCCGTCTCTGCAGGATTCTGGAGTCCTCCCTCCCTCCACATCCCACGCTCCTCAAACATACGTTTCTTGGAATCGAGAGGCGAGCTCGTGGCTAAGGGCTGGCGGCAGCGGGGGCAGGGAGGATGGAGGGGAAGAACGGGAGACGGGGACGGAGTGGGAACCTTACCGCAGGTCTCCACGCGCACCAGCTGCAGCTCGATGCTTTTGATGGCGGCCTCCGAGCTCTCCACCACCAGCTCTCCCGTTAGTGGCTGTGTGATAACACAGTTGGTCGAGTTGAGATGTCCTCTGATGAGAAATTTGGGGAGCAAGGCTCTCTAAAACAAGACAAAAACAGACACATCAGGAGTGCGAGGCGCCAGGAGAAGGTACTCAAGTCACTTTGGTACAAATAAAAACTGAAAACAGGGTCAGATAATTTTTATAAAATCCACTGGGACCCTGGTTTACAAAATGGGAAGAAAGGTACAACAGTACTTACATTTTCTGTCAGCTTAAGTAACAGACTGAATCATTCAACAGCTATCTACAGACATAAGGCACCTGATGTTGCTGGCACAGAATGACCAGCTCTCTCACAGAAGCATCCTGATTGCCTAGATCAGGTCTGGAACCCTCCTTCTCACCAAGGACACGACATAAAAATGTCTAAAGAAGTTGCTGACGGTGTTTAAGGACAACCAGTCACCAAAAGGAAAAAAAGAGGTTTTAAAAAGATAATCAATTTTTAAATGTTCCCAATTATGCAATTTTGAAAAACCAAGACATTAACCTTATTTCAAGGAAATTTAAAGAGAACAATTTTCTTCAATGCTTGACTAAAAAAACCTATGGACCTTTTCTCTTCAGACAGAGGAAAATGGTCATGGGTGAGTAACGATGCCACGGGAAAAACAGAACTAAAGAGTTAGAGACATCTATCCTAGTAGTCTTTCCTATGGCTGTGTCCCAGTTACTGCAGGTAATTCAGAGTTTAGAACACCACTGTCCAACAGAAACATAATGGAAACCACAAATGTGAAGCAACTGTGTAATTTAAAATTTTCTAGTAGCCACATTAAAAAAGTAGACGGAAACAGGTAAAATTAATCAATATATCCAAAATATTATCAATTCCACACATCATCAGTATTTTACAGTTATGAATGATGTTTTACATTCTCTTTTTCATACCGAGTCTTCGAAACCCAGTCAGTATCTCACCCTGAATCTCATCTCGATCTGACCAGCCCCACCTCAAGGGTCAGTGGGTCATGCGTGGCTGGTGCCCTGTACTGGAGGTCAAGAGCAAGGGCGCTCTGTACCTGGTAGCCCCCAAAGGCAAAGAACTCTAAAAAAAGTCTTAATTCAAGACAGAATTCTAAAAAAAACTGAAAGAGGCTATTTGTTTAGAAAAAGGAAAAGCAGTAGCAGTTCCCATTAAAATTCTCTTAGGCAACTGCATGTTTCCAATCAAGGTTCAAATTCCTGAGAAGAAAATCTGACTGGCCTACTGGGGTCACTGCTCCAGAAACCAGAGAAGGGAGAGATGTTCAATGGATTTCTGAAAGGCTCCCCATGACACACCCCCACCTCAGCTGTGCCTCTCGCAAGATGAAGCCAATAATCCTCCCAAATTGGCCTTTGACCCGACCCCAGTCAGGAGGGTCCAGGAAGCAGAATGCAGGGTTAGGGTAGGGAGGAAAAGCCACGTCCACAAAAGACAAGTGACCAAGGGCCCAGCTGAAAAACCAGGGTATGTGGCCCCCCTGACAGGCAGTGGCAGCCCCGGGACTCAGGGGAGGGGGTCTCTGGCCACAGTGCAATAAAACTGGGAGAAGACAGTAAAAAATTATAAACATATACCCTCTCTTTTAAAAACCATCCTTCTGCTAAGTAGTTACCGAATTTAAAAAGAAAGTAAAATTGAAAATACAGACTATTTCGGGTAGAGACAAAAATTTCCTCTTGCTGATGACTTGATACCCAAGTAAAGAACAGGTGGGCAACGGTCTGTCAGTGGGATCCGGTTACTAAGAAAGCCTCCCTGGCACTGGTGTGTAAGGAACACATTACCTCTTTGACATTCTGTAAGGTTTCAGGCGTGACAGTGAAGGCCACGGGACTTGGAGTCAGTTTCCGCTTCTGAGGCTACAAGAGGAGGAGAAACCAAACTCAGCAGAGAGTCCACAGGTCAGACTTGCCTTTCCCCATTTAAGGAAACACAAGGTAGCATCGTGAACCAGGAAGACCTTGGCACTAAGAGGCAGGACGCTTGGATTCTAAACACAGTTCAGCCAAGAAACAAGGAAGGCTGTGTGCTGTCCAAGGTCCTCATCCCCGTGACTCAGTTTCCTCATCTGTAAGATGAGGGCAGGCTTCTTAGTCTCTAAGGTCCCTTTCAGGTCCAGAATTTAAAAACAGAGCAGTATTGTTGGGAGACATTTATTCTGAACCTCTTTCTGAGAATAAAAGCCACTGAATCGGCACCATGATCCTGTGCAGAGCTGTTACCAGCCCTGGTCCCACTTCACAGATGACAGTGAGGCACAGAGAGCTCAAATGGTGGCTCAAGCATGGGGCAGAGCTGAGGTCCAAACCCAGGCAGCCTGGCTCCAAGGCCGGTGCAGTTAGCCACTCAGCTGTACAACTGTCTACCAGGAAGAATCACACCTATAACGTAGTTATATGTTAGCATAATTAATTACATGTTGCCGTAATTAGTTAACAAGGATCATCTCCACATTACATACGTGCAGAATCCATCAGTACAGCCAAGCTTCACGGGGCCTGCCCAGTGTCATTTACTCATGGGCTGGGGCCCAAAGGCCACTGACGCCCAGATGGCCGGGGAGCCGTGGAGGAGAAAGGGTACCGACCGATTTGCCAAGTTCACTCACTCACCAAAAGCTTATTCCAGGAAACATTCTTCCTGAATATATTCTTTTTACTAATAGGTTCATGAACGTGTTCTTTAGAGAATAATGTATTCCTCCTCACAGTATACAGAGGAGTATGTAACTTCATGTGCTACAGGTCATAGCATGGTTTGGCTTCTAGTGAAATCAGTCCCGAAGACTCTTGAAGGCCGAGTGCGGGCGGACCCCCCAGGAGCAATGAGGAAGCCCGAGCTCTGTGGCCACCCGTGGGCCGGGGGCCAGGGTCTGCGGGCCCAGCTCTGGGCGAGGGGCTGGGTTTGGGCTCATTCTTCTTCACAAAGTTGGAGGCACTTTTTATTTAGCACATAAAATGGCAGGTGACTTTTTTAGGGGATAATCTACATGAGAAAAAGTTTTTTTGCTTCACTTTGAAAACCCTTGATGGAAAAAGGGAGACTATCCATCTAAATCAAGTTAACTTCCAAAAAGGATAAATATTTTCATCATATTTTACATAAAATATTGTATCACTGAAAGAAATACTTAAAACTATGATTATTAAAAATTTATAAACAGGGAAACTACAAATATTGGAAATCCTAAAAAGTCATAAAAATGATGCAAGGGCATGAGTGATTTTGCCGATCTTATGCACAAGAAATCTGTCTTACATTTTCACTTAATCATCACTAAAAGATACCCATGGACATTTCACAATAGTGTAAAAGGCCCTGCCCCAAAGGACCTGGAGAGGCTGAGACACAGGGGAATCCAGGGCCGTGGGCACGACTACTCACCACCACGTGTCACCTGCAGCCCTGGCACGTGAGAGAAATTTTTAAGGACACTCTGTCACTACAAAGTACTAGCAGAAGGTGTCAGGAGAGGCTCCCCACCCCTGCCCGAGCAGCCCTGCATGTTCTTGCTGTACAGGCCGAGAATGCAAGGCCCTGGCCTTCTCTCCCTGGTCTGGGCCATTTCCCCCAGCTGTCCGCTGAAGCTGCCTTGAGGGACGAGGTGAGTCTCCCTCTAGGACAAAGAGCAGGCTTGCTCACTGCCTGCTATAACAAAGGCGGATTCCTCAGCTTGGGGCTCCGCAGCTGAGGCACAAACCCCTCAGGTGCAGTGCCCCTTTGGGCCCGTGGCGTCACCCAGGGGCTCTGGCCCAGGGGAATAACACACATGCTGACACCAGCCATGCTGGGAGAAATCCAGTCCCCTGTCTCTAACCCAGGAGTCCCGAGTCTCTCCCCAGCATCCACGAAACACTACCAGGCTAACTTATTGCTTGTAAGTGGGGTCCAGTCCCAGACCCCACAGAGGATTCCTATGACTGAGCCCAGAGCCCCCAAGTGCAGCTTACAGCAGAGTGGACGATGAATTCACAGGTCTTGGTCAAGTCCTTGGCCAGCAGGGACCGCCTCATGTCACAGCGCAGGGTATACTGGAGGGAAAGGCAGAGGAAAATACATCCTTTCAGATGGTTTGCTTTCATCCTGGAATTTCCTGGAATTTCATCCTGGAATTTCTTACAAAGAGGCAAGTTGGAGGGAAACTTTGTCCAACTAATGTGTTATATGAAATTAATATACATAATGGGGGGAGTTAATGCTCAGAACAAAAACAGTGCTATTAAAAAAACACTTTAAGGTTATTCCTCAGCCCATTCCCACGGCCATTCTGTAGCTGGACCCCCTGGAATACAGGTGCAGAGCCTCCCCTGTAACACAGGACAGACCAGAGAGGCAGAGCAGGAAGGGCAGGCCTGGAGCAGCAGCTCGCTCACACCCGGTCCTCTGCCTTACCGGGCGAGCCCAGACAAGGAGCACAGCTTCTCTGAGCTTCAGCTTCCTGCTCGCTAACACTACCTTAGTGAGGACCCAGCGAGGTAATGTGTGATAAGCCAAGGCCTGGCACACAGCAGCTCTGGGTAAAACGGCTGCTGTTTTGTAGTAAGGACGAGAAAACACAGGCAGCAGGACTGCAAACCCCTGGACGGCATCTAGACTTCACAGGCCAACCTGGGAGATGTGGGTCAACCCCCGACTCGCTCTCACTTGCTGCGTTCTCTGCATGGGCGGCACCGCGCTAGGTGCCGGCGCAAGGGCAGAGCTGCGCCCCACGTGGGGAAGGGAAGCGATGCTAGTGACAGTGCTGAGTCCTGGAGCCCAGGCCTCCAGGGCATCTCAAAATGAGCTCTTCATATCTTAACCTTAGGAGGAAAAAAGAGGGGAAAGTCTTTGCAAAATTGTCATTTTAGAAAATTCAGATGTATGCAAACGTAAAGAGAAGCGTATAAGGAAGCCCCAGATCCGTCAGCCAGCTTCCCCAACGGCCAGTCCTGTTCTTCCCCTCGGCCCTCCCCCATTGGCCAGCAAAGACGTATCCTGCGAGCAAAAGAACGTGGGCAGGAAAGGGATGGAGCATCACGCTTGCTTTGAACTTGGCTGTATTCAACTCCTCTGCTGTCCCTGTGCTGTCCTTCTGAACTAGCCACTGCCGGTGCACCTGCTGCAATGGGCCCTGAGCCGAAAGCTTGGCTTCACCCGGGACTGTCCCTTCACATCCCTGTCCACGACAGACTGTGTGGTAACAAAACTCTACAGTACGATCACTGTCTTAATGTTAATCTTAAACAAAAAATCACAGAACGTATGTTGGATAAAGTGAGCTGTTGTTTTAATCATCCAAGAAAAACATTAAAATAATTTGTAGAACTGGAACTATATGCACAGTTGAGTCAAGAAGCTACAACTATTATGACCAATCTGTCCACGTTAAACAAGAAGCTGCTATGTATTTAAGGTACTCCTGGGAGATTAAAACATTAAAGAAAAAAAGAATCAACCTTTGTCTGCAAGGGCCTTCATATATATATACAGAGATATAGATATAGATATTCTCCATCGAGATTTCAATCTGGTCTCCCCAACCATACAAGCTCAGCGAGGGCTGTACCATATATGTATATGCTATGTTTGTGTGTATAACGTGCAATATATACATGCACGTATGCATGTCCATTGTCTCTCTCCTGTACAGCCCACACGCTGCCTAGAAGAGGCAGCATTTTATTCGGGCTTTGCCTGGTCTCCTTGATGGTTTTCCCGATGGGAACGTCCCTTCCTCATTTTCAGTCTCAGGGCTTTGGGCGGGGCTGATTTCCCCCCATCCCACAGGGGTGTGGAAGTGACCAGAAAGGCAGGACTGTTGCTGGGCCATGGGAAACAGTCCCTTCTGCTGGGGCTGCCAGGCCAGGAGATTGTAAGCCTGTGGCCGCCGGCCAACAACCAGCTTCACCCCCGAGAACACCGAGCTGGGGGCTGACCGGTGCCCGCCCTGGCCTAGACGGTCCCCTGGAATTGAGAGTTCCATGATCCAATATCCCTTTTTTGGCTAAGCCAGTTTGAGCTGGATTTCTATAACTTGCAGATGAGAGAGTGTGAGTAATGGGCACCAACTTTTGGTCACTGAAGGTTTTTAAGTGTGAAAGCAATAATTAGTAATATAAGGCAGCTGGTGGTAAGTGGGGGGAAGGGGAGAAAGATGGAGAAAAGAGGAAAAACACTGAGATTATGTTTTAGGAATTGTGTTAAGTTCTTAAATTTTTTTTCTTTTTTTTTTTGGCCACACAGCACAGCTTGTGGGATCTTAGTTCCCGGACCAGGGATGGAACCCGTGGCCCCTGCAGTGGAGGCACGGAGTCCTGACCACTGGACCGCCAGGGAAGTCCCACGTTAAGTTCTTTCACATGTACTTTCTCAATTAATTCTGATAACACAAATGTAAGAACTGTTGACAAAATATAAGGATAGTCACCACTAATTCATTTATTTAATCATTCAGAAAATACTTACTTGGCATGTTCTATGAGCCAGGCACTACGCTAAATACTTCACACCAAGGCCGCATCAACCCCCCAGGGAGAGGGGTCATGAAGGCTGCTTGGGTCACAGAGGTGGGATCTGAATTTATACCTGCCTGCCTGCTGCTGAAACCCATGCTCTGAATCTTTACGCAATACTGTAACTCCAGCCCAGATCCGTCTGCTGCAAAGCCCTGGATCTTTTCGCTCTATCATGATCCTTCCCAGTTATTAAGGAGTGATCTACACGGTGTGAGCTACAGGAGGTCAGAGGGGGTCAGGAGGGTCAGACTTGAGCAGGGCTCCAAGAGGAGGTGCAAGATTCGATCTTTTTATTTTTATTTTTTATGGACGCACAGCATGCAGGACCTTAGTCCCCCGACCGGGGATGGAACCCGTGCCCCCTGCAGTGGAAGCGCGGAGTCTTAACCACTGGACCGCCCGGGAACTCTCAAGATTTGATTTTTTCGACTGTCAGTAAACACAGGACAGGAACGAGGAAAGAAAACGCGTGTCAACAGATTTAAAGCAGACTCCTAGAAAGGAGTCTGTCAACAGGAGGACTACCATCTCTACCATTTGATTCTGAACACACAATTTCAGCAGACATGTTGGTACTGCTGTATTTTGTGTTTTATAGTATAAAACCTTGCTAGTATGGCCACAAGAGTAAAACAACCATAATAAAACTTCCCCGTGATTTAAACAACTTTTAAAGGAAAAAGTGCCTGCACAGGGGACGACTAGAAAGACTGCCAGCTTCCTGTATGCTCTATCTACTAACAAGGATGAGAAATGGATGCAGGATGGCTGAGAAGAAGAATCAGAGCAAATAAGATCAAGCCCTCTAAGAAGTTCCCAGGAGTCCAGCCCCTGAAGCTGACAATTTAATACCGGCTACATTTTAAATCCTTTACTCTGTCTTATGATTTTTCCTGTTTTTACATTATGTTACTACAATACAGTTCAGAGGATAAATGCAAAATGTCTTTGCACCCGTATAATCTGAGAAAGATGTTATTAGGGCTCAACAACAACACTTTCTATCCCAAGTCACACACCCGGGACTCTTCACGGGAAGCTCGATAAGCGATGGCACTGAGAAGGTGACGCCCCGTGTGGCACCTGCTCCACTGTCCAACAAGGAGGGTAGAAAAAGCCCCATCTAGAGACTGAGTGAATGAGTGAACTGATGAATGAAAAAGAGATCAAGAAGCTATAATCCTAGTTTCTCTCAAGAAGTACATTTCTCACAAGAAGCAAATGACAATTTGAATAAGAGCTGAGAATTTGATGATATGGGGACTTCTTATTCATTCTGATAGCTGTGAAAATAGTTAACTGGGATTATGTAGAAGAATGTCCCTATTTTTTGGTGATAGATATTGAAGTATTTTGCAATGAATTGTCAAGATTCTTTAACTAACTTTGAAATGATTCAGAAAAAAAATAAATACAGATGAAACAAAGGTGGCAAAATTCTAATAAATGTTGAATCTAGTGGTAAGTGTAAGGTGACAAGCTCTTATAAATTTGAGGTTGAGAAGACATCTCTACGTTTTCAGAAATTTATGAGATATCTGGGGAGGTGCAGAATTCCAAGTTGTAGCCTTCTGAGGTTAACCCTCAAAGTGGTAAAATCTGATGACCAAAATAAAGGGGGTCGGGGTGATTATTTGCCTTACTAAAGAATTAACCACATGTTGACTCTTCTTCTGCATTTTAACTAGTTTCCAACTTACACACAGCTACACAGGAACCCAAGTTTTGTATGTATACCTGTCTGGTTTCTTGTCAATATTTGGAAAAGGGTGAGATTTCCAATTTTATTTTAAACAAATTAATCTTTTAACAAGAATGATCAACACAGGACAAGAAAGTGACAAGTAAGAAGTATGACCACAGAAAGTCTGACGTTATTCTATTCAGTTTCTAACGAATATATGCTTCTGTTGCTAAGTGAGCAGCATCAAAGAACGACTGTGCGGGTAAAGCAGGTTGATGCTGACTCCGGCAAGAGAATACAAATAATTTTGAAAATGCAACGTTTGAGATATTTTCAGTCTCGCTAAAAATTAAAAAGGCAATACTTTCTTTCATGGTGAAAGTATTCCCAGCCTAGAAAGCTGGTCAGAGGATGCGGGTCTCTACAGCAGCGATCTGTATGTCTATGCAAGGGGTCTCCTTTGAACCTAGACACTTTACTGTCACTCCTTATGAGCTGCCCAAAGCCTTCAGTATATTTATTGCCTGAAACAGGTGCACCGATAACAAAGGACCAGAAAAGTTTTTCTTTACAGAAAGGTATTTATTGCGATAGAGTACATCATACTACATGAGTTTCTTCTTGACCGATCTCTTAGGCCATACATAAAACTCACATACAGACAAACCTTTGGTTAAACTCTCACAAGTGTTTGGAGGATTTCTATTTTAAAAGTGCTACATTTTAAGCAGGGGAATGGTCTCTACCAAGACCAAATTATCAGCTAAAAATTAATAAATCAAAAAATTTCCTAACTGCCAGCCCTCTTGCACATACGTAAGACAAAATACTTTTGTCTCATCCAGCAGGGAACCGCTGCAAGGCTGATAACACAAAAGTACCTTTCTTTCCGCTGAATCAAGGAAAGGCTCTCTTTCTCTCGCTCTGAGTCATGACTCCAAACTGCCCCTGAGACAACAATAGGGACTGTGAAAGAACTCTGAACCAGCGGAGGTAGACGGGAAGTCATAAATCCACTTCCCCCTCATTTACAAGGTTTGTTCAATAAAGAATACAAGCCTATGTCAGAGCAGGAGCCTTTGGGTATGAAACAAAGAGATATTTATACATATAAAATAGAAAAGTTAGTGCGGGTGCCAGAGAGAAGTGAGGGCACGTCTACTACCAACAATAAAAGCACCCCTTACAGTGTCAGCGTGGCCTGAACAGAGCCCCAAAGAAACAACGGAATTTTGGAAAGAAGCTACAGCTTGGGTCCTCCTAGATCCCCATCAAAGATAATGGTCATACATAAAATATGTTCTGCAGGGCAAAATGAGAAATCAACACAGAATATACATGGGAGGGCTTAGCAATAAATAGAGTATTAAATTCTTGGGTCCACCTATGAACTTTCAGTGAAAGAAAGGCCAAGCTGTTTTGCAGAAGAAAAGTTGTGAAGTCAGCTTCACGGGATAAGGAAACGCTCACCTGGATGTTGACAAACACGCCGTGGTAAGTCTCATACAGGACTCTGTTACCCTTCACGTGCAGAGGAAATTCGAAAGGAATTTCTGTTCTGCCGCTGGGAAATTTACCTGGTTTCACCATTTCGATGGTGCTGTTGATAATCTGGATGGGCTGTAAAGAAAACCCAAGTCAGTCCATCAACAAGCACTTCTTGATGCACTTTCTTTCACGTTACTGCGTCTATTAAATAATCTCCTGAGACACCACACCCCAGCCCTCGGCCGCTACCATCCTGGTGCCCTGTCAGCGGTGAGTTGGCCCAAGGTCTCTGGTTCATTTGCAGGACTGGATGCTTAGGCGTTTGGTGCACAGTAGGAAGTGAACTGATATACTTCCCTCCCTTAACCCGAAGTATCTCAGTTGACTGTCCTAACGACCCTTCCGGCGGGCACCTCCACCTTCAGAGTGAAGCAGACGTGCCCGGCACTTGGCAAGGTGCGGGGCCCTCTCGCAGCCCAGGGCACCCGTGCAGGCCTCCTCGGCTGGGCCCTTGGAGGGAAGCAGTACTCACACTTGGAACCTGCCTAAAAGGCAGTTGTTACACCTTACTTAGTTAAGGTACTCTAAGCCATTGATCTACAATCACTTTGAGAAAATCCACAGCTTCTGAAGTGAGTCTCTAAGTGTTGATGGAAGAAAATAAGAAAACTGTGGAAAAACCTGAGAAGGTCCTGAATCTGAATACTCTTAATGAACCTTTCTTTCCTCTCAACTCTTTCCCCTTCAAAACTTAAAGAGTTAATAATATGTCCTTCAGGAAAAGGAAACTATAAGTATAGAAAAAAGACTTCACTTTCTAGAACACAGAACTTTAAGTGACAGAAAAGAATGGCTCTACCTGCATCTTACCTGCATGCCATATCCAACAGCAGCTGGATTAAAATAACAGTTAAAAGAACAGTTTTGTTTCGGGAAGGTAAGTGCCAGAAGGCCCAGGCACAACTTCTCAGACAGCTCTTGTCTCCTTAATGGCTGAAATTAGTCCCCCCCAATCCTATCTAATGGGAATAAAAACAAGCAGACTTTCAATAACAGAATATATTCAAAATCAAAACATCTGAATGTTTTTTCAGTTTGATTAGTAAATAGTAAAAGCATGACTACCACCATTCCTTGCAAAATAGCGACAAATAACAAGCCAGACAGCAAGTAAAAACCACCACAGACGTTTGAAAAACGAACTAAAAACGTGCAACGCTAGCATTCTTACCTTAACAGAATTATAGAATGCTTCGAACACACCCACACTCTTGGCACTGAGTTGGAGGTTCACGGTTCCTTCCACTGTCAAGGAGACTCCCTGGTGCTGGACCGAATCCTTCCCAGATACAACCACCACCCCGGAGAGCATTTCCTGGGGGAGGGGAGACAGCCACCCAACACATTAGCACGGCTCTTTCATCCACCTGGTTTACTAGCAAAGTCAGCCTCCGTAACCATCAATTTGTTCAAAGATGCAGACACTCATTGAGTGCTTATCATAGACCAGATGCCTGGATACCAGGATGGGGAAGGGCCAGCCCTGGGGGGTCCCGGGGGAACGGGGGGGGGTGGTGGCGGGGGGGGGGGGGGGTGGCGAGGAATCTCATCCCATCACCGCCTTCCGGACACACCTTCGTTCCTGCTGGAGAATCCAAACAAATGTCTGATTTCAAAAGGGCAAAGAGAAGGGCCTGGGGGAAGGGCAGGTTCACAGACCTTTACACAGGAGCGTGTACGGCGATCTCCTCAGAAGGAATATGACACAATAAGAGCCTTTTCTTTAGGTTCTTTCTCAATTATGCCGACTAAGATGATTACACACTGTCAAACGCATGAGCAATTGAGCATGGCTGCTGGCCGGGTGTCCTCTGCCCAGAGAGCCTCGTGGGGGGCCTGGAGGTCGTGGATATACCACCCGACGGCCACACGGCCCTTCACTAAGCCCCCAGCCCCTCTGTGTCCTGCTTCCTGCTGGTGGACAGTCGAGCCCAGATTTCCCTGGTTCATGAATCATTTAAGAAAGACTTCACAACAGAGCACCCATTCACATCCATTCACTTCTCTGGAGATAATCACTGAGTCACAGAATATGGACATTAACTACATTCCTTCCTGTCACCGTGGGCTTGCCGGTCTCAAGTTGCGACTGGGGTTTGCGTGGAACAGGAAGTTGAGAAGATTAACTAGCACCAACCAAAGGAAATCCACAATAAACACAAAACAACGTGTTTCTGAAATGACCTCGAGAAACGGTTTGTGACTGTTCTCAAATGGTAATGTGATGGCAGAACTGTTGACAAAAAGACGAAAAAAAGAAAAACAGCAAAAATTAAAAATGGCCCCACAAAGCAATTATACCCCAAAAAAGATGTTAAAAAAAAAAACGGTCCCACAGATCAAAGCATTAAAAAAATCTGTCCTCCTGGCGTTTAAATCTGTTTACCTTTTATTTTCTCTAGTCATCTGGTGAAAAAACTTTCACCAAGTTCTGACATTATGTGAAATTTTGGGAGCGGGGACTATTCTATGTCCCTTAAATAAGCTAAGTATTTTGGCTTTGTTTCCCATTCCCCATCCCAAAGCGCTGAAGTCTAAATTAAACAAACACTCTCAGCTCCTTTTTAAGCAGAATTCAAGGGGTAGAACTCATTTTGTTCGTAACATAAGAAGTTCGTAAGAGAATTTAAATGAAAACCCTTCTGAAATACTAATTTTACTTTTAAATTTAATTAAAATTAATTCTATTAATTTTTGTACAACCTAAATGAAATTTAAAAATCTAATTTTTAAGAATTTAAATCCACTAGTATATTTTAAGAAATATGCTTTACTAGTATGTCCCAGAATTAAAATCAGAGAAAACAATTCATGAACTTTATCAATTAAACAACACAATAGTACTTGGTTCTGCTTCTACTTAATTGTAATGTATTCAGTTAATCTCATGGGAACAGGATCTGGGTTGACCACTGAATACCATATTATAATCACGACATCAATAGAACTGTTTCCTTCCTTTAATCCCTATGGCATAAGAAGGAAAAAGCAGTGAAGTACCCTGGAAATTAGCAGAGTAAATATTTTATGATTCTTTTGTCATTCCTTGATTTCAATTAAGAAATATAGTAGAGAGAATAAAAAATTAATATAATATTTGCAGATAAATTAGGCATTCTAACAATACACAGGTCCATTCAATTCCTACCAACATAAGAAAGATAAAGAATTAGTCCAAGTACAGCCCACGGAGCCAAGAATTTTAAAACAGATATTTCAACAAAGAGTTAAGACCCATGGTAAGAAGACGACTGACACTTCTTTCTGTTTTTTTAAATTGAGGTATAATCGACATACAACACTGTATTTGTTTTAGGTGTACCAGACAATTCTTGGTTAATCCTGGTGAGAGAGGAGAGAATAACTTGTATAACTGAAATTAACGAGAACCCAAGACCTCACCAAGAACTTCCCGCTCAGACTTCCACCTAGAAGGCTCAACAGGGAGAAAAGATCAGGGCTGTGGACAGCGAGGGTACCTCGCTGGTACCGTGACGTGATAAGTGGGGTCCCTCACTGAGGGCCATGATTTCAAAGAGGAGGCCCTCCTGGACGTAAGGATGACAATGAACCCCGGAAACAATGTACAGCGTGTGCTGATTTTCGGGGGGAGAAGAGCCATGGCTTTTGTCACATCAGCAAGGAGGCCTTGCCCTGAGAAAGGTTAAGAAACAGAGAGAGACGCAGGCCCCGCACTCGTGTGCGTGTAGCCGACACGAGGAGACAGATCCCAGCGCTCTGGCCCGCCCGTGTGGCCCTCAGCGGGGACCCGCAGCCGCCACACTCCCACCAGCATCGGCAGAAGCCGGGCCCTGGGGGGGTGCGTCCCGCGCGCGCCCGCGGCCAGCCCGCAGCAGGGGTCTCCAGGCTCTGCCCGGAGGAGCCGAGTCCAGAGGAAGGCCTGGAACCCCGGCACCAGAGCCAAACCAGAAGCGGGGTCGCCCAAAGTCTCCGGGTCTCCCCGGCTGACCGGCCGCTGGCTTTCTCCGCAGAAGCCACCGCCGAGGCTTCCCGAGGGGGCTGAGAGGCTGCGGCTTGTAACTTTGTATTCTCTAAACGGAAGGGGCCGCTAGCGAACTCCACAACTCTTTTCTTCTTTGTTCTCCGGAATCTAATGCCAAACCCATAATTAGGGCTCTGGGCTGCAGGAGGGCAGCGTCGAGTCAGCAACGCCCCCGCCCGGCCTCCTGGAAATCACCCAGAAGAACAAGACACAAAACCACAAACGCCCTTCTCGGTGAAGCAAGGAGACGGCTAACTGCCGTGAAATAGGTGAAGACGAGCAGGGGCCGCGCAGTCAAAAGGCGAAGTGAGGCCCGCGGCTGCAGGAAGCCGCTTCTGGAAGGTGAGGGGCACCTGGGAGGGAGCCTCCCGACGCCCCACGCAGGAAGCAGGAGCTGTGACCCGCCCCCCAGCTGCTTCTCACATACGGGGGCCGGGGGTAAAGGTTAGAGAGACTCACGTCAAACCTCAGCCAGCGCGGTCCAGGAATAAATCATCTCCTGCAAGAAGGAGACATTGTGAGAACCAGCAGAGGTGCTTGGACACACAAAGCACAGACCACGTGGCTCTTCTACGTAAAGGAACTCCACAGGGTAAAAAGGCCAGTCATTTCCACGGCCCTACAGATGGGGGGCTCCAGCCCCACCTGTGCGCCCTCATCTCTAAACGCTCCCCCTCAGCCACTCCTCTCCACCGTCCTGGCCCCCGCATCCAGCCTCAGGACGTGTGCACACACTCCTGCCCCCACCTGGATGCTCTTCTTCCAGAGCCCACGTGGCTCGTGACGAAGACTCTCTCCTTGACCAAACTCTACTCAGCCTCTCTCTCTCTTTTTTTTTTGGCGGTACGCGGGCCTCTCACTGTTGTGGCCTCTCCCGTTGCGGAGCACAGGCTCCGGACGCGCAGGCTCAGCGGCCACAGTTCACGGGCCCAGCCGCTCCGCGGCATGTGGGATCTTCCCGGACCGGGGCACGAACCCGCGTCCCCTGCATCGGCAGGCGGACTCCCAACTACTGCGCCACCAGGGAAGCCCTACTCAGCCTCTCTTGAGCTCTTTTTCAACTAGGCCTCGGCTTTTGATTTCCGTGTTCCTCTCTGCATCGTCTGATTGTAGCAAGAATTCTGCTAAGTCAGTTGAACCATCCTCCATATCCATCACCCTCAACACCTGACCAGGTTCCTCATTCTCCACCTCTCCTGGCCCCGGGGGGTGTCTGATGAACCTGGCCTGCCTTCAGCAAGAACCCTGTGAGCTGGTTTATTCCTTTACCCTCCTGATGTTTCTTCTCAGTAATTTTCCATCCAGTGACACCCCCCCCCCCACTCTGCTCCCTGGCGATAATTACCACTTGCCCACACTGCACTCAGAGTGGAGCCTCTTTTCCCCACTGCAAGACCCCACTGCAGTGGTCCCTACATCTATCGCAACAGTTCCCCCCTGAATAAAGTCTGCTTTACCATCTTCAACAAGGGCCACGGATAATTTTTTCTCTCACACTCGCTCCCTCTTCTCCATCAAGTTGGTGCTCAAATGACAGCGTCCTCATGAGGACTCCCCTGACCACTCCTATTAAAACTGCACTACCCCCTTTTCAACACTCACTTATCCCCCCTCCCTAACTTTGCTCTGCAGCACTTGTCGCCTTCTAAACTACTCCATAAGTGCTTATCTATTTTACTTATCATCTGTACTCCTGGAATGTAAACTCCACAAGGGTAGAGTGACAGCAAGAGCAGGCACTCGATGTTTACTGAACAAATAAATGACTACCCACCAGAAAAACACAGCACCAACAAGCAGATGGAAACTGTGAACATGCATTTCACCGTGAATTTTTCAATGTCATGATGCAATTGCTTCTATGAGGGATGAACACAAGACAGAGCTATGAGAGTTCAGGGATAAGATGGTGAGGCAAAAGAAAGAGATAAAAAATATAAGAAAAGCTCAGAAAAGAAGTGGAAGGAAAAAATAAAACCATCACAGAAAAGGAGGTGAAACTGAAAGGGGCTCAAAATACATACAGGACAGAAATGAGAAAATTCAAACAAATCGTGTGAAAATTTAAGAAAGAATTAAAAAGAATCACCAGAGAAAAAGATAAATACAAGAGACCATGAGGAACATCCAACATATGCATAATGAAGTTCCCAAATAAGAAAACTGAAATAATGGAACACAACATATTTACTGATGTAATTTTTAAACACTGAAAAAGCAAATGGATTAGGAACGGTTAAGAAAAAGATAGACTCTAGTAAAACTATTCTACTTAAAAAAAAGAAGGAATCCTTTAGGAGTCAGGCAAAAGA